TCCATCTGATTCTATCATTTCTTCTTCCATTAGTTTTGATACCACCACCGACAGATATCAATTTTCTGAATCGCTTCAAATGTCCAATGTTAGTTTGGAGTTTTCTCAAAGATGATACATTCATGCCACCATCACGAACAGCTCTATTGAATAGTCTCAAATTCGTATTGTATAGTTTAATCCATCTTTCTCTGATAGGTATGCTAGTACTATCTGAAATTTCTTTATGAGCTTTGAGAAATAATTTGATGATCTCATCGCTATGCTTCGCAATACCACATTGTTCCATGATACTTCACCTTTCAACAGTTAACTCAAAAATGATACTCAATATGGTGTTAATATATTTATATTCACAAATTCTTTCTTTTTTTTTTCTCCTGTCGGGCAGACTTTGGACTATCCTGCAGAGTTTCTAGACAATACAAATTTGTGCTACTGACAATTTTATCATAAGGATTATTTTTCAATGGGTTAGATGCCGTGGTGAAGAAGTTATGTAGGTCTACAGATTTCTTACAAAAACAAAAATACTTCTTACAGTCTAGGCAGAATTGGGTATTCATATTAAAACTCACTCAATGTTTTTCACCAACTCGAAACTATAGGCGTCCTTCGATTTCCCAACGTCCTTCTGGCCTTTATACACCAGAGCGTATTTCTTTGGTGTGAATTCTTCCTCTTTTCCTTCCACCAAGTCGGTCACTCTTTGCGGAAGAAAGACTACAAAATCTTCCAGTTCCGCCAGGATACACTTCCCAAATCGTGTTTTCACAACCTTAATACTAATTATCGGTATCTTCTTATTAACTGGAAGATCAGACAGCTTCACGGTCTCCTTCCTCACCAACGAAGCCTCTTTGTTTATTGCTGTAAGATCCATCTAAAATTATAGTCCATTCTTGACTTTGAGAATTTCAATCAGGAATTGTAATCAGAAATTTGATACTAAACAAATATCAAACTCACTTTTAGGCAGGATGTTTCACTTTTTCACGATTCAACAAGTTCACGACAATATTTTACAATGATCATCTATCCTCCGCTATCTTTTTTATACCAATATTCCCACTCATACCTCCCCACTTTTACTTGCTTACTCAATCATGAATAATGGCAAAATAAGATCATCAGCTAAAGTGACATCACTTGTTTACAAAGTTCATAAGTAAAGATGATATCAACTTTCAAGGTACAGGATGGCAAATAAAATACTTAGTTCATGGATTCTTCATTTTATTTTGAACACTTGCAATCAAACAATTTCAGATGACCAAACACCTAAAACATTTTTAAAATTGTAGGAATTTCTAAATTCACACGTTCTATATTCTATACAATCTCGTTTGCACTTGAAACAATGAATATGAGCAAATGCATGAATATGTTTATTATTACAGAACAATGATGCTGAGTATTTTTTCATTTTCGAAACCAAATCTGTACGGGAATAACAAGACGGGCACAAGATGAAATGTTTTCCATTAACTGGATTGAATAAATGATAATACTTATTGCAGCTCGCATATTTAGTATGACACATATTCTCGTTGATGAAATTATCCAACGGATAATCCTTCTCAGGAATCTGGTAGGGTTCTCCACGTGAAGGAAAACTCAGCTTTATCTCAACATCTTTTCCACCATCGAACTCTTCATCATTCATAATTTCTCCATTACGTGAAATTGGGATCACGCAATGATATTCATCCACAAAGTCATATGACTGACCTGACAAACTACTGATGGCACTATCTTCAAATTCAGACATAATGATACGTAACTGAAGAGGATAACAACAGAACTGATGAAAAAATACATTTTTTCATGATTTTTATACATTTTTGGAAACCATTCCTGTCCACCCTATAATCGAAATTTGCACCGGTAGATTGTGCATGTATTATCGATGAGATCATTAGTGCTCGATAAACAAACTTATTGTTGTTGTTGCGATGAGATCATTGAGGCGTGGAAACGACGGATATTTTGCATAGTGGCCATGGTATTATGTTAATCGATGATCGAGCGTGATAAACAAACACACCTAGCAAATTATTATTGAATTCATTACACTGATGAGATCATGGCATAGGAAACGTAAACAGGGTGATTTCTGGACCAAAGACTGGCAACGAAAAATGTTACCGAAATTTAGGAACCAGGCACCCTAGATACATCCTAAGTTATGCATGACGTCGGGGTTCTTCAGTTCACACACCAGGAGCTCTGCAACGTCTTCAACTGCACTTGGAGGAACTCGATGACCGTTTGGGCCAGATTGAGCATAGAGCGTTCTGGGTCCACTACTCTCCTAAATACTCTACTAACATTGACTACCTGGACCAAAGAGTGTTTGGCTTGCATGTTTTGGAAATTTCAGCGAAACAAGTGAAAAAAACGTCTTCTTTGAAACTTTTGATTCCCTTATTCTGAAACCAGTTTTCAAATAAATCATATTCCTTTTCATACCTGTGACGGGATTTTGATGGTAGTAGATCCAAGTTTGCAGTTCTTACCGCTTCCAAAACTGCCTCTGGCAAATCTTCGTCTGAAGAATCCATGGAAAATTATATCACTCGAGAATGCAGGCAACAGTAAAATTGGTTTTGACAAGATAGTGTTTTGAGTGGCAGGTTTATTTTTCTATTGTTGCTACGATGATTCAAAATGACAAATTAAAAATGTCAGATGTTTATTATTATTTGACATTCATTTGATGAGGCTAATACCAGGGCCATTTGAAACTTATTGAAACATACGTTCCTTTTTATCCAAAATTATAGCAAAATTCTAATAAAATTCCTCATTTATGTCATTATGTAAATTAGAATCATACAAATATAAATCTTGAGTATTCAAATTTCAGTGTATTCCCTTGAAATTTAACAAATTCACTTTTCCGCACTGAGTGTGGAAAAAACTTTTTTCCGTAATCGTGCGCAATCAATCAACAATCCACAACAAAACAAATGAGAAATCGGATCCGATGACTAGTGCTAGAAAAAGAAAAATCTACTGTGGTCGGTAGTAGGGGGATAGGGGCTCAGTCGGGTAATCACCTTTCAAAATTCATGAAATGTTCAATTGATATATAATCTCCGTTGATATGCAACTTATTTCCAGGCAATATCTGGTATATCAATATATTTCAATGAATTCAACATGCCTCACATTTGAGAACACCCTGTATATATGTCTGATCTGAGTTCACTATAGACGAACCAGTACTTTGCCAATTTTGTTGAAGTATAGTTCCTCACTCTGTGGATTATCCTCGAAGAAAACTTGTGATGAGCAATATTCCGAACTGGTTTATTGAGGTCGAGTCGATGTTTCGTCTGGGATTTTCTTCAGTAGAATGTCTTTCATATTTCTTCCAATAGTTCCAATCAATGCCATGAAGGAGTTTCAACCAACCTTGCTAAACAATTCACTTCCTTCAGTCACACGGCCAGTCACATATCTTTATTATTTTCCTGTAATTTAAATCAGTTTGACTTCATTGTTTTATCCCAGTCGGAGTCATTTTTTCAAGTTACAATCATTTGATTTGGAATACATTATATTCATTGTTGCCATACCTGCAAAGGCATTTCGTTTACCAGAGAGCAGTAGAGGATTTTTGTGCTATGAGGAAGTGTGGATTTATGCAGCGTCATTTAACATGTATCATGTAACAGTTATCATTATAATTTCATATTTTTCAATGACTGTGTAACAATTATCATTTATCATATAACATGTAGAATGTTGGCCAACTTTCGAATTCTTACATTGAATGAACCAGATTTTCCTATTGTGCGCAACCTTGTACGCAAGTTATCTCGGGTTGGTCCGCCTGGTAATGATATTAAACAAGGATATTAACCTGGAAATTGAATGTCATTCACCACTATTTTTGTTCGATTGTGAGTGTTGTTGGTGTGAATCGGACAAAGAATAAAATCAGATGTTATGGATATTGATGATGCCATTCTTGTGGATCTTGTCAGACAGTTTCCTTTTATATATGATGGAGGGAACAAGGATTTTGAGGACAAGAATATGAAGGAGAATGCATGGAGCACCATTGCCTCAACTTGTGAATGAAAAAAATCCCTCATGATCTTGTAAAATCATTGATTTCAAATATTCCTTTTTCTTTTCTATCCCTATTTACAGGCTTCACAGCCCATCTTCTTTTCCTCTTTGACTTCAACAGGAAAAAAGTGGCCGTCGACAGCATCATCAGGACAAAAAGCGTTTCTGCCTCTTCCATTTCGGGAAACAAATGTTTATATGTTTATAACATTTGAGAATGTATTATTTTTTTTACATAAAAAGGAGGTTGCAAGGACTGACTTGTGCGCATGCGTATAATTTCTTGAATGTTAATTTGGTCTGCATAGATGGTACCATTTTCGCTGCTTGTTACATTATAAATGTTAATTGATAATAATTGTTACATGATACATGTTAAATGACGCTGCATGAATCCACACTAAGATTGTTCTACTAATTTCAGAATGTTCTTGATTTTGATTGGTTGGAATATCTGTTTTGGTAACAGAAAACAATGTTTTCGTATTTTGAAATTCGGCTATTGATTGAATACGGGAAAACTATATGCTGTTTCTTCAATTTTGTATTTCGCTCTTTCATTGATTGTTCAATCAAAAATTTAAAAAAATGACTTGTCATCAGTAGGCTGTCATGGAAGTCATGATATTTCCATATTCAGGAATGAGTAACACCTTACTTCAGCCAATATCATGATAAGCACTCACTATTGATTTACTATTACTATTAATTTTCTTTTTCAAAAAAATAACCATATTGCGCGTTATATGCTCGTATGTTCTCCGAGCATCATAATTATTTTCTCAATATAGAAGAGATTCATATCTCGAAAATTATCAATTCACTCGTTGTATTACCTATATACGCTAATCCTATATGACTCCACATTCAGGAGTAGGAGAAGAATCATCGTTTAATGGAGAAATTATTATTTTCAGATCAAAGCAGCTTCACTCGAGATGTGTACGAAGTATAAAGTAGCAATAAGATCTCAAAACGAGCATTTCCCCAGCATCTTCACACCTTCACATGACATCATTACGCCTCCAGCATTGCCTGCAGACATTCCCAAAGAAAACATACACTACAACAGTACCAACACCACCATAACCATCAGAATGGAGTTTCGAGTATACGAAGACAGGTTTCACAACGAAACCATTTATATCATTGTATCCAAGTATGGAGAAACAGAAGACTTACTAGAATTTACCAAGAGCTTGCAGGATGGAAGGGAACCCGTCTTGCAAAAGTCCAAAGTAGTATTGAAATCAAAAGGAATGGACTATCCAAGCATTTTCGTGATTGGCGAACAATTTATGAATTCTACTAGTCTTTCTAACCCACCTTTGGAACCTGGCACCAATTACAGTGTTGCTTTGATATTCGTAAACGAGTGTTACAATGTGAGGAGGCTAAAAATGATACAGGAATACATGAAAACGATAGGTGATGATGAAGACAAAGACGATGTGAGACTCTGGGCGCTGATTCTTCTTATGTTCATACCTTTGTCAGCATTTGGATTTTGGTAATTTTCTCTTATCATTCAATCTGTGAATTCTGTCTCAATCTTCTGTGTTCCAGGTATATTAAACATAAGCCACAGTATGTTGAAACGACAGTAGGACAAGGTAGGTTGTCTTATAGCACGTAGAGGCGCTCCATTTGAATTCGTTTCTAAATTGACAGTCATACTTGTTAAAGACCAGTGAACTCCAGGATGGGCTATATTCTTGATTGAAGATATTTTCATTTTCAGAAAGAGATTCGCACTTGTATGAAGAACCATTGAATGTGCAAATATATGAAATTCCTTCGAGACTCAATGCAGTAATTCCAAAGGAATCCGTACCCACGGTGAGATAACGTATATTTTAGAATATTCGATATACAGTTGGAATATTTTTCATATGGTTCAAGGACATTGGTATCGAAACGTTTTATTGACCTGTATACGAACGTTTTTCCAATCTCGTATTTTTGGCTTGATGATAAGGAATTGAACCGAGATATAAAGATGGAAAATAAGGCATCATTCTCAATGAATACGAACTTTTCGAAAAGACCAAATTGTTATTGATTAATGTCAAATTTTCTAGTACCTAGAGGTTCTGCGAACAAAATACTCGAAGAAGATAAAATTGGTTGATTTTGTGGACTATGTTAAAGTAGCAGTAGGCAGTATGGAATTGGAAAATCAGCATGATGTGAGTTCATTATGAGTTTTTGATTGTTTAAATAATCAACTTTTACACTTCGCATTCTCGCCATTGTCGATCTAAATAAAAACCTAGTAGGCGACCTAGTAATAGCTCTTGCCTACTGACTGCCTAACTCAAATCAAATAAATTTATTCTATTCCATGACAATATGCGTAGTGTATAACATTTTTTTTTGTTTGTTTGAGATTATTATAATATATTCATGTGTAAGTATATTTTATATTATATATATGTTTTGATTTTGAGGCTTCGTAAAAAGTGGAGTGACCTAGGCACTAGTGCATGTATTGTCGACTATCCTCCTCCTGAGATGCCAGAAAAAAAAAACTCAATACCACCATAAAAAATTAACAACAAAATTAACTTAAAGCTATATGAAGCTAACAATGATACTAGGGGTGGAGTGAGATGGTCAAGATGAGAATATAGGGCAATTTCGAGAAAATATTTTTCCTTTTTTTTTTTCGGGGTTAGGGGATGATTTGAATGGTTTTTGAGAGTGGATGTATTTGAGGATTTTCATGACTTGAAAATTTCGTACTTTTTGAAGTTTTCCAGAATATTTTTTTTATTCCAGTTCTGAATTTATACGTTTTAGTAATTTGTTTGATATGTAATGGTAGTGAGTTATATAGTTTTGGTCCATAATAGTGAAATGATTTCTGTGTCAAGGTTTTATCGAAGAAATCAATATGCACATTCCAATCAGTTGCGGCTCTGGTGTTCGAATTTTTTCTTTGGAATGAGTCCCTTTTATGATAAACTCGGAGAAGGCATTGGTAATTGTATATTTGTCTGACTGTGAATAATTGGGTTTCTTTGTAAAGAAGTTGAGTTGAAAATCGTCTGTTTTTGTGAAGTATGATTTTTAAAAGAGTGTTTTGGGTGGTTTGTAGATTTTGTAAGGTCGTTGTGAAGGTGCCTCCCCAGATGGTAATGCAGTACCTTAATGTTGATTCGATTAGTGAATTATACAGCTTCATCAGATTTTTTCGCGATAAGATATCTCTCAAGTTGTAGAATTTATTCATCAGTTTCCTTATACGTTTGACAAGATAGGTGATATGATCATTCCACCTAGTATGCTGATCAATCATAACGCCTAAATATTTTATATTTGCAGTATTCTGTAGTGTGGTGCACCCACAGTCATTGTCGTTATCTTTATTACACTGATGGGAATGTAATTTGATATACATTTTTGGTTGGTCTACTGTAGTCGGGGAATATGTAATATATTTTGTTTTCTCAATGTTTAAACTGAGTAGATTGTAGTTCAACCATTTTTTGATATATTTCAAGCTTGTCTCAGTTTTTGTGTGAACTTCTACCCAACTTTTACCAGTAATCACGAGGGCAGTATCATCAGCATAGCAAACTAATTGACCTCCCAAGTTATGTATTCTAGAAATACTATTGATGTATATGAGGAACAATATCGGACCCAGCACTGTTCCTTGGGGCACACCTACTTTGACTATAGATTCAGAACTCAATTCATTTCCTATTTTTGTAGTCTGTATTCTATTTGACAGATAATCTTTGAAAAGGTCAAGAGCCAAGCCACGGATACCACAGTCATTCATTTTGTCAATTAATTTGCTATGGGAAACCGTGTCGAAAGCCTTCGCGAGGTCAAGAAAGACTGCTAGTCATTTATTTGACTTGTCCAATGCCCCTACCACTGACTTGAGTAGGCTCAGGACGGCATCCTCAGTACTACAGTTTTTGATAAAACCAAATTGATTCTCGTTAAGAACTTGGTGATGCTCCAAAAATGCTACAAGTCTTTTCTTGGCCGCTTGTTCAAATAATTTCGCAAAATTATTGATAACTGATATAGGCCTGTAGTTATTTAGTTTGCTCCGATCACCAGCTTTGAAAATCGGGGTGACAATTGACTCTTTCCACTGTATTGGTATTTTGGCAGTTGAGAAACTGGTATTTAATATGTGAGCTAATGGTTTAAGTGAATGTATGTGGATATGTTTTATGAGTTTGGTACCAATTCCGTCGAGACCTGCAGAGCAATTATTTTTCAATTATGATAACAAGAGGATTATTTCTGTTTCACTAACAGGTTCCAGAAAGATTGATGAATTTATTCTTGATTCGTTTAGAAAATCATTGGGAAGACTATAGTTTTTTCTATGTCACGTGCCATTTTGATTCCCAGTTCCGTAAAGAAATTATTAAATAAATTCGCTTTTTCTGAATCATTTTGTAACAGAATGCCATTTTCATTTGAAATGTCTGTGCTGGATATTTGTGAAGTGGTTTTATTTCCTGTGATATCCTTGATAATATTCCATATTTTTTTTTACAGTTTCCATTGGCATCATTTAACTTGTCCTTATAGAAGTCGTTCTTAGTTTTTTTTAATTAATGCATGAAGTTTATTTCTGTATTTTTTATAGCATTCTTCAAGTTCCGGATTATTATTTTTTAAATTTTTTTTTTCATTGTGTCTCTTTTGTGGATTGATGATATCAAGGCAGAAGTTATCCAGGGTTTTAACTTTCTAGTTTTATTGTTGATTTTTTTTGTTTCAGTACATTCGCTGATATATTTAGTGATAGTAATATCAGTCTGGAAAATTATCGGGTCTATTTCAGTATGATTTCTTATTATTTTCGAATTCCTTATGAAAATGTGATCTATAGCTGTTTTAGATGTAGAAGTTACCCTTGAAGGTTTATTTATATGTGAAATGAAACCATATGAATTCAGTATATTCAAATATTTAGTTGTTTCGTTCAATTCCGTTTGTAGAATGTTTATGTTGATATCTCCTGAATATAATTTCTAAGTCTTGATTCTCAAGTTGCTGTAAGTATATTTCCAGATTATCTATAAGTAGTCTTGAGTAATTGTTGAAGGAGGTCTATAATATGCTGTTAATCCCATCTTGTTATTGTAAACTGAATGTTTGGTACTAAAACTCACTCGCAAAAATTTAATGTCATTTATGTCAATTGTATAAACCTTGGGCGTTATACTATTATTTGAATAAAATACTGTTCCATCGCATTTATTAATACTGGAGTTATTGTAGTAAGCTGTATTGTTTGGTATTTGAAAATTACTAATGTCTATTTTTCTTGTTTCTGATAAAATTATAATATCCAAGATGTCTTTACCTGTTTCAAAATATATTAACAATTCATCAAAATGTTTTTGTATAGACTGCGTATATCAAAATGAATTAACCCAATCCCATTCTCAAACTTGCTTCTCACTCCACTATCTATATATTCTTGAAAGTTGTTTAATTCTATTGTTTCAATTTCCTGTTGATCATCCAAAGTTTCTAGAAAATCTAGCATCAATAGTTGGAATATTGTACCTGATTCTGCCTGGGATTCTTAAATTAGCAGTTAACATTAATTTTAGATTCAGAGCTTCATCAATGTGTACTTTGAAACTAAGTTGTCATCTAGATCGACAATGGTTGGCCTAATGCAACTGATGAGGCTTGGCAAGCCTAAACAGCTGACAATCGATTCACACAATTCCTCTAGAGTCTCTTAGTCTTGAGTTTCGAGGTTTCTGAGAATATTCTGGTCTGACGTTTTCATCATCATCATCATCTTCAATTATAGGATGGTGCAAATGGAAGTAATACATTAATTTCTTGCCGAACTGTCCATTTTTGAGGAATTGCCTGGAACACGTCAGTTTTTTATATTTCACACATTTCTAAGGGAAAATTCAATATACAGGGTGATCCACGTTTGAGTTCTGATATCCGCGACAATTTTATCAAACTAAAAACCCTATATTTATTAAATTTTTGAAATCTCCATGAAGTGCTGGATTCAAAAATATATTACACATAGGGTTTGTATACAGTGCGTCCATTAAATTGAGTGCACTTATGAAGTTGTGGATTACATTCATTTTTAGCTCAACTATCAATCTCTCAAGAATCTCCTAGAACACGTTAATTTTTATTCTGAATTTGTTACATTCATAAGAGAGAATCAAAGATACCGGGTGATCCACGTTTGATTTATAACGTCAGCGAACATTTTTCAAACAGAACAACTTGAATATCATTCAATTCGTTTAATCTCTATGAACAGCTGAATTCAATATTATATATATCACACATAGAGTTTGTATACATTGCGTCCATTAAATTCAGTGCTCTCGTGAAATGGGGTCGCGCTATATAAGAGAAATATACGTGTTATATATATTCCACCTACGGCCACTATGGAAAGTAGGCAAGAACATATGAGATACAGCCTCAGTGAGTAGCTCTCCACGCACAGTAGGCACAAGAACTGTGAAGAATTATAATTCAGACTATTTTTCCAAATTTTTTGGATGTACTATATGGCAGTAGGTAAAGTATAGTACGTAATGCAAGCAATTACGCACTCATGGAATTACGTAACTTTTCCATTCGTTCGTAATTATGCTATTCAGCTCCCCATGGAGATTCAAAAAATTGAATAAAATATAGAATGTTCTGTTTGGAGAAAATATCGTGGACGTCAGAACTGGAACGTGAATCACTTCCATTAATAAATGTGGAAGATTGAAAAAAGAAATCGACCTATCCCAGGAGACTTCTCAGGAATTAATGGACTGCTTGCTATAAATGATTTTATTCACTACTTTACAAAATTTAGTGAACGCACTATATACAAATTATTCGTGATATATTTCTGAATCCAGCTTTTCATGAAGATTCCAAAAATTTAATGATATATGGGGTGTTCCATTTGATAAAATTGTCGCGAACTCAAACGTGAGTACATTCAATTTTCACTTATTAATGTAAGGAAATGACAATAAAAATCTACATGTTTCAGAAGATTCCTCAAAAATGGACAGTTTGGATAGAAATAAATGTATTACTTTCATTTGCACCATACCATACTGCATATTATTATGTCCATATTATTGAAATGTTTCTACTTCTAAAAAAAAACTGTTTCTCAATGCATTGAGGTTTGTCTTTCTGTACATACGTGGGTGTAATCACTTTTTATTTTCAAGCTGTTTCCCAGAGGATTATTACAAAAATGTGAACGGGGATCATTGACAAAAAATAAATCAAAGAATCGGTACCAAAATATCATAGCATGTGAGTTGTTTGTTATGAGAATGAGGGATCATAATTGATTTCAATATTCGTCATTTTCAGATGATCACACCAGAGTGGAGCTTGAAGAAATTCCTGGAGATGAATATTCTGACTACATCAATGCAAATTATATAGACGTTAGTTGTACAGAAATAATTTCGTAATTTGATATTCCGAGATCACACACAGAGAGTAAGAAACTTCAGAGGGGGATTTGTAAGGTAGGTAGTTTCAAGAAAAAAGAACATGTCATGAACATAATAGGCCGAAGTTGCGTGGATTCTGAGATGCGGGGCGTTGAAGTTCTGGTTGAAATTTGGTAGGTACCTAGGTACAGTTATTTGAAGTAATAAGGCGCTAATTTAGCCCTAAACTGAATCGAAATTATTAGGTCTAGTAACGTTTCAGTGGACACCACAGCTAGTAATATTTGGGAAAATCAGTTCGCCACTGACCTTCTTCGTATCATTCAGTTTTTTAGATTGAAAAACTCAAAATACGAATGTTTTGTCTCCTGTGTTCTTTCCATATCTAGCTTCGTTTTCGAGAAATAAAATTGAAGCCACTCTATTGCATCATGAACATGTGAAATAGTGATTTACTATGCTTATTTGAAGAAAGCCTCAGCCTTTCAAAAACGCGCGATTATTTCATCATGTTAATTATCGATCTGACAGGAGTACCATGTTATGTCAAAAAAAATACCACTAAAAATGTTCAACCATTTCACATCGTCTGTTGTTATTACCATATTCATGATGTCAGAGTGTACCATGAAAAATAAGTGTTAGGTATCCATGCATAACTAGTCTTTCAAACACTTGAGGCCGTCGTGCTCTGAAAATTGCGTGTATTTGAAAGACCTTAATATATCTATTATATTATTAATATCGAACAAACATCTCGCCAATTTGTCTCCAATTTGGCAGGTACTTACTCTGATGATTCTTCTTTCAATTCGAGCTAGTAATTGGATTGTAAAGTCTATGCGAAGTCAGTTGGAACGAAACATCAAACCGCAAGCCGTCGGTCCCTTTGAAAGTTCAAAGAGAGTGGCAGCGCGGCCGACATTCCTCTGATGATCTGCCTCAATTGACTTGTATAGACAATACTTATTCTGTTTAGGGGCGTTATCAGGAGACAATTCACGGAAAAAATAACTTGCGCCGGGAACAGAAATTCAATAGTTCCAGCAAAAACGTTCTGCTGCTACAGATAGTTAAATATTTATATATATTCCCCACCCCAGATCAGTCATTATCACTATGTATTTAATAGTGAAGATCACGTGAAGCTGAACCATCGACGATCCCCCCTTTTCATCTCATGTTCAGTTGAGGATTTTGGGACTTCCTACACGAGTGCACAGTGTGCAAATTTTTACCGCGGTGTAATTTTCATCGAATTTCAACAAGAACCAATCCACATGCATTGAATAATCGTTCAAAATCATCAATTTCCACTGAAAATTAAAATTTGATTGGTGACGCCGCTGCATGCGAGCACAAATTCTGCCACTACTGGCCAGTCTGTATTGTCAAAATGAAAGCACTTCTTTTCAATCATTCTAATTAAAATCTAGTTCTAGTAGTCATGACTGGGACTGCGCGATATCAAATTTCACATATCGATGCATTGTCAACAAATTCATTTTCATTGCCGGCGTGGAGGATTATAATTCTTTTGCCTCTCGAACTTGGACCACTCACAATACAGTTTTTGATATCATCTACCCAACCGTATCGAACAACGTCATGAGTGTCAAACCACGTTTCATCTAGATAAATAGATTATAGTTCTATTCGCTTCACGGAATTCCCTTATTTTACGTAGATATTCTTGCCGATGGTCTACGATGCGTCTTGATTCCATAATAACCATCCTTTTGTCTAATTTTTTATGGCTGAACCCGCAATCTAGTGAAACATTTCACAAACGTACTCAACGATTTGTGATTATAATCCGCGTATTCATTCAACTCATCCCTGATATCTGGCAATGTTGGCACCTCATTCTTATTATAAAATCTATATACAATTCGACGAATAACTTCTTTCTTTCGAAGCATTATCAAACTTCTTGAGTTTTTGTCCCACTCTTTTTCGTTCTACTTCATGATCTACAACATCTCCGGTTCTAATAACTCTGTATATGGTGGTATAGCTTATTATAGTTAATTCCTGTATTCTCGTCACAAGTTGGTTTCCTGAAGAAACATTATTCTCGTCCTTGTGACGCGAATAGATATTCAAAATTACCCTTTGCGTTTGGATGTGTAAGTCTTTATTGGCGAACTCCGCTGGCTCTTCCTCCGAATCACTATCACTCACTTCGTTGACTTCTTCAAAAGGCCTCCAGAACACGAAACCACTATGATTGAAATAATGAATTTTCTGAATTTCGAGTTGAACCAATGAAGACAACCTAGCTCGTACCGCACTGCCTAGCGCAGGCTGGAAGATTCTTATCACACAGGAGGCCGCCCATGCAACTCTGACCAATCAACATCTAGTAAAGTTTGGAGTAACCAATGAGACGCGGTTTCTAGCATGACATCGCTTGTCCAGTCCACGTTGACTGCACAGGCTGCATACTGGGAAAGCTTAGTAGAAAATATCTCATTCATTACTATTCCAATGTTGATCAAATCGACAAATCTTCGTATCGTTCTTAAAAACGGAAGTTTTTCAACTGACTTCGTATAATACATATATTGATTCATTGCGAATAGGTTGCCTACCTGAATCAAATGTGGAAGATACTGAATAATTAGATATTTTTGCATCTAAAGAGCGAAATGCTACGTTGGTGATCGAGATCTGATTTTTCAACCGAGGCGTTGCCGAGCCAGTTGCAAACAACATCTTTTCTACAAACTTCAAAAAATATAGTTCTAAAGTAAAAATATGATTAGCTTGATATAAAAAATAGTGTTGAACTGGCTTCAAAGGCCTCCCTCAATCCTCCCTAAGTAAGCACGATGTTCCACGAACATAATAGGAATTTCCTTTCGTGCGCTCAAAGAGATAAAACAAAGTTATTGTTGAACATTCAGAAATGAATGTTTTCGTAGATGTTCGCTCGATTGAGGACCATAAAGTTGAAATATATATATCTCATATATTTCACATAACAATGCGCGAAGTATGTTCTTCGCGCACTGTTTCACTTCGCGCATTGTTCTGTGCAAGGTATCATGATAACGAAGGAAACTGAAAAAAAGTGTCACTCCGCAATTTGTTATCAATGCGCGAACCTTGTCATTTTTGACGTTTGTAGAAAATAGTTATTTATACACCATGGTAGTGAAGAATATCATTATTACTCAAGGACCACGATTATATCCCGAGGCTTCAGCCGAAGGGTATATGGTCCCGTGGTAATGATATCCTTTACTACCAAGGTGTATATTAAATTTTTTGCAACACATGCAATATATTTCAATCATTATCGTTCTGTGAAACTGATACTAGATTCGAGTTCCATTTCTGCGAATACCGCATTGAAGCAGTGAATTTCGGTAGATTATAACAGAGGTGGCTATGTCTTTATTGACCAGTGGTTAATAAAATGACGAAAACTACCTTGGTAGTAAAAACACACTTTACGACTCGAAAAGAAGTGAATAATGGTAGGTTCTACAGCTAGTGGTGGAAAAAATATATTTTTCTGCAACCGACACAAAAGTCGTCCATTTTGATACCAAAATTAGCTCTTAAATTGACGTTTCTATTACTGACACAAAAATGGGTATGTTGCTAGGCAACATATTTAGTTCCTAGGAGCTAAAGTTGAATTTTAGTTCCTAGGAGCTAAAGTTGAACTTTAGCTCCTAGGAACTAAAAAGGATGTACTGGACGTCATCGAGAATGAACAACTTTGTGACGGTTGGTTATTTGGGTTGAGACGCATACCTGATTTGTTTCCGATTTCAGCAGATTTGGCATTTCATACCCATGCTGGAGATATAAATACACCTTATTATAATAGTTTGGTATTGGAATTATAAACATCTCAGTTAAGTATTTTTGTTTTGATCAGGGAAGCCTTCAAGATTCAAATACTTGCTTGATCTGTATTTCATTCGTTATTCTCGGGATGGATAACTTGTTTTTGAATAATTACGGCAAGCAATCGGTTTTTTGTCTCAAACAACGATGTTGTTTAGCTTCATTTGATTATCAAGTCAAACACAGTGTAGTATGGAGAGGAATAAATAATCACTATTATCATTGTTGATATGTTCACTAACCTAACATTTTCCACGTCTTGTTCCTATAGCTGGCACTAGCGCGGTATTTGCCATTAGAGCACCTGGTCCATTCACAAATATGTCTCTCTGTGGTTGTATTTATATTGAAACTACAATTCGAACATCCTAGAAACCCTTACATGCTGTTAATGCAGGTAGAATATTCTCACTACATGGATTATTTGTCAATATTTGTTGCATTGCATACATATGGCACGGCATTGGTGGTTACTTCACATGTTCATTTGAGTTGATTGTTTCGGTTGCAGAAAAAATAGCATGTTTCATTCGGATCAAAAATGACTTTGTTCCACTCGCAAATTTTGCTTTCGCTCGGCTTCGCTAAACGCTCCGCCTCGCAAATGCAAAATTCGCTTGTCAAACAAAGTGCCACTTTTGATCCTAATAAAACAATCTACTATTAATTACATTATTTCGATTAACTCCTCTCATTTGTTATTTATAAAAGTCGAGTGTTAGCTGACAGAATATACTCTGATGAAGTCAAACAATATAGGTTGCCTACCTTTCCCAAGGCACAGCTATGGGGTTTTCAAGCATAAACATGTAAGTTAGCGTAATTTATATACCCTCATAAGTTATTCAATCAAAACATGCATCGAATGGAAGCTTATTTTATTGACAATCTAACTGCAGTAGGTTGCCTCATCAAAAATTGTGTTGAATTCATAGTTACCTAGATTTGAAATGTAGAATTCTCTGCCCGAGCGTTATGTGTGTAATGCGGGCTCAATTCAATTTGACAGAAAAAAGTGCCGCGAGGCAGTAATGTCATTATAAAAATACACAATTTTGGTAGAATCATAATGGAACAGCCACGCAAATCAGAAACGAAAAAATGTTGACAACATCAATATGGACTTG